ACATGTACATATACATATATACACTGCTCGCTGCTCGTTGCAGCTCAGATTCGCCGCTGGGCATGCATTAAGGGCTTTCGGGTATTATAATATAGTGTTTGGGTTTGGGGCTTTAAGGAGTGATGCAAAGTGCCGCTCAAATGCAAGCTTCGATTCAGAATCTTAATGCAAAGCCTTAATATATTAAACCCAGCACCCTAAACTAAAGCACCGAAACCCCTAAACCCCAACACCCCCAACACCCTAAAGCCCAAAACCCTAGCCAGGGTTTGCGGGGTTTGGGTCTGCTGCCGGTCAGCGATCGCGATATTTCCCCCGCTCTGCGTGCGAACTCCACGTCTTGCGATTAGCAGGGCCCATATGCCAGCTAGCGGTTATCTGATCGAGCTCGCAGGCTAGGATTACCGTACCGTGTAGCGGTGCTTAATACCCACAGCCTATGGCTTATGGCCCCGTTTGCAAAGCAACTCAGCAGCTCAGTCCACGGAAGTTTGCAGCCTCGGCTGCTTCATATTCTCGAAGGCCTGCATCCCTGAATCGAAACCTGCAAATTGAGGCAAGGCACCATAGATAAAATCGTCGCAACGTGGATTTCTCGAGGCTGCGTGTGTGCACCGAGCTTGCTATGCCTGGGATCCCATATAGTGCGAGTACTAGGTGGAGCACAGTAGCACAAGTAGTGGTACTATAGTAGTAGATATATAGTAGCAGCAGCAGTAGGAGCCGAGGAGGTGGTGGTAGTCGTAGGTGGCGGTGGTGGTACCATGGGTGGTGGCGGTGGTACTAGCGTACTATAGCTAGTGCATGGTACTATACTAGTACTAAGTACTTCTCGTGATAGTAGTACTTATATGTAGTGGCATCCGGTACTACTATAGCCGTAGCTTATAGTACCTAGCTAGTGGTACTAGTGGTACGTAGTTGTAAAACGTTATTAATGCCAAGCTTCCAACCAGTCGACCGTTGAAGTCCTCGCTCGCGAACGTGTGGTAGTGCCGATAGTTGTATTTTTCGACGGAGCAGAAACGGATGAGCTCGAGGATACCCTTGGCCCGGGGGTCGTGGCTAGCTGCACATTTAATTAGGGTTTTAAAAAGGATTTATTATAGCTAGGCCTAGCAATCGGGTGGGCTTGCCTGCTTGCTAATTACGGATTTTTTCGAACTCGCGTTGGGGGGCTCGGGATTTAATATGGTTTAAAGAAAGCCCTTAGACATGAAGCTTGGGGCGGATCTGAAAAAGTGGCTTCGAGGATGAGCTATACATCTTCGCGAGCCAGCCGTATGCGTTCATGAACATATCCTTGGAAGTCCAGCAAGCCCCCCAAATATTTACACATATGTGTACTACAAATTAAAATAACCCAAGCCCAATATATGTAGCCATATATAGCTAGGAACCGTGCAGTGCCGCATTCGCTGGATCTCCGCGTCCGTAAGGTATCGGCCGGCCTGCTCGGAGCAGTTCATCAAATCTGCCAGGTAGAACCTGGCTGTCTTGGGAATCTAGGGCCCGGATTTAGTTGAAGGCTTTTATAATTAAGGCTTCTTAATTTAATTAGGGTTCAGGGTTTAGAGCAAGGTTTAGGGCTTGCTTGGTTTCTGAGCAACATGCATTGGCCCATAAGCCGCATTGAGCGATCACCGGCATGTTCATCTTCGTAGAGCAGCATCGTCGTCCGGTGAGCCAGCCAGCTTGTAATAACCCTCGCCTCGATACATATACCCGGCATCATGGATGCATATTGTCGTCTATTTGCAGCTAGCGGCGTTATAAGCTTTAGCCGCCATCTCGAGCTCGCCGGCTTTGTACCGGAGGAACTTGGAAGTAAACTTCGGCTGAGAATGCCTGAGATTATTCTTCAGTCTGGGTATTTATATACTGTTCGGAAAGGTATATATCAGCAAGGGCTCAGAACCTTTCGATCGTTACACCACGAACAAAAGTCGCGGTAAGCACTGGCCAGCATGGCATTCACATCGTCGCCAGCCCAAATCCCCTGCTACATGGTACATATTGTAGACACAGATTACTTAAGGTTTAGGCTTTGGGGTGTAGGCTTTGGGGCTTGGCGGGTGTGGTTTTGGAATTGTGCCTTCTGCATCAGTAGGTCGATGCACCCGGCACCAGCCCACAGCATAATCCCAAGATTTACTGTGTGTAGGGAGCACCAGCGAAGCATCGTGGGCCTCCATCCAAGGATCTCCGGGATGACACCTGCGTGCAAACATTGGTTTTTGCTTCGAGCCTGGACAAGCAATTAAACTAGTTTGTGATTGCGGGCTTCTACGGGGCAATTTATAATTGTAAGATGTAACACTTTCGGATTTCAATCCAGCGGCTCGTCCTTCCATCATTATCCACCAAGCTAGTGCAGGCCTCGGCAAAGTTCTCGGGTGTCCGCCTGGGCATACTTTCCATTGTTGACATTCGAGGGTCATCGAAGAAAGAGTCCAGACGGGCGTGGCAGTGGTGGCAGACGGCGTTGCTGCTCCATCCGATTTTTTTAAACCCGAGCCATTCCTAGGTAGCGACTACAAAACACCCAGAAAGAGAGAGAGAGAGAGAGAGAGAGAGAGAGAGAGAGAGAGAGAGAGAGAGAGAGAGAGAGAGAGAGAGAGAGAGAGAGAGAGAGAGAGAGAGAGAGAGAGAGAGAGAGAGCGGGAGCGAGAACAACAAAATCGGCTTCGGGGTCTAGGGTCTAGAGCAGATATCATGATGAATCGAAACCGGTTCCGATACAATTCATACCCGCCAAGTCTCTTTGTAAAACTTCCAGTCTGCCCTTAGCTCGGTAAGAGCGGCCAGCGGTGGCTCCATGTCGGGCTCGCAGACCTCTCCTCGGAACAAAATGTTCAAGGAGTCGACCACCTCAGCACAGGAACATATCGTTCAGGTTTCGGTTGGGGGTTGGACGTGCATGCCATCGGAATTTATTTGGGTCCAAGCGACAGGCCTCATAAAGGCCTGAATGGTCGAAAACCCGGTCGACAAAGACTGCCAGGGATGATATCTGACATGTACAAGGCTAGATAGGGTGGGTTTAGCTTATTTAGAGGGTGTTACTATGTCGGATTTCACACCTCCCTCAGGATCCACAAGGGGAAGTGCGTGGTCATCGAATGCGTCCGCTCATCTAACACCAGGCCTAGACTCACCTGGGTGCGTTTCTCTTCATTTGTCCATTTCACATCATCGGCATAGAGATAGACTGGCAAATGTTTGCAGTTCCCCCCCTGCTCAGCGAGTGGATGTCCGGGGCCCCATTCCGCGTGCGTGAACATGTGGATCCAATATTCCCGAATCGCTGCAAAGTCGGGCACAACGAGGTTGTGCTTCAGCAAGTGAGGAATCAATCGATGAGGGAGGACCACCGGTAATTTCCTGAATCCCAACTAGCCACGACCACACTCTTGGTTACGAATGATATTAGGGTACGGTTACTGGGCTTCAGGGTTTATAATCGAGGGTTCGGGGGCCTAGGGGTTAGGGGCTGATTGTTCGGAAGCTTTACACGAGCACATTCGGCAATCGCCTCATCACCACAGTGGGGTCCGTGGCACTCTTCATCATGGGGACCTCCACCGTATCCATCGGCACCTGGGTTTAGGTTCGGGCTTTAGGGTTTTAACGTTCCAGGGTCGAGGCTTTATTGTTGGGAATCTTCGGCATCTGAGTCGATCGCCATATCCATAGCTCCATCGAGGATTCTCAACGAATCTCGCTGCAGATTCTGCGGATGTTTCCCAGTAGCACCTGCCAGCCGAAGCCTCTGTGCTGTCCGTGGCAAAGTTCCGCCAGCTGCTTGAAGCTCCTGCATCGACGGGGGATATAACGAGTTCGAGGGGATATTACTAGTACATTGACACGGAGCCAATCCTTATGGGACTCTTCCAAGAACTGCCTGGCTCCGGCGAAGCTGAGGTCCTGGATTGTCGACAGCTGCGAACGGAATCGAGGCAGGTTTGATCTGGATTGGCTTAGCACCGGACCCCTTTACCAGTGCATCGGAGGATGTGTCGCCCCAGTGGCCCCAGGTCGTCGTTCATAGATTCTGCGACAGGGGGTTGTGCTAGCTAGAGGTGCATGTTTATCGGCTGCCATTCAAAGCATAAGACCTCTAGAGTGCATTTTCGGGTCCATGTGCTTTGAGAAAGCTTCCCCGGCACATTCGGGGGTCTGGCATCGAGATGCTTGAAATCTGCTAGCCGCCATGGGCCGTGAGACCCAGGTTCCAGCCCGGGCCCACAAAATTTGTGTGCACTTCTAACTGGAAAAGAGCACGAGGATCCAAGCTGCTAGTCTGCTTCTAGAACTAGCAAAGCGGCAACTCGAAATCCCGTAAAAGATGCTGCCGAGCTAACAGGACTCTCTGCTGTACCAGCTTATGGGCCCTCTAGCGGCTCTAGCGACTAGCGACCCCCGAACTTTAATTGTAAGCTATCAATCTTAGCCCGGCAACACCTCAACAGCTCGCCAGTCCACGGCACACCCAGCCAGGCGCTCAGCCTTGATCACTTCTTCTTGCCGCCGCGGCCCTTCGCCTTCGCTTTGGCCTTCGGCCCTGCCTGGGCTTGGGATGGCTCTCGTCAGCAACCCCGAAGCTTCACACCCGGGGGCCCCAAACCTAAGCCCGAACCCTTAAACCCTGAGCCTAGCCTAGACCCTAGGCCTAAACCTAAAGCCCTATATAGACCTTAAATACAGCCCCTGTAAACCTAGCCAAGGCCTATTGCAAAGAACCTAAATAAAACCTTAAACCTAGCCTATGCCTTATTATCATATATACATATATACATACTTATGATCGAGAGACCCTAACCCTAAACCCAGCCTAAATCCTAAACCACAGGAACCTTTTTGGCAATTCGATGTGGGATTGCATGTACACTACTGAAAACAGCTTGGGCTCAGGAGGCTTGGGCGGCTTTCCTAGCTTATAATATTTGGGCACCTAGCTAGATAGCTACTGGTTGGGTGGATTTATAAGGACTTAGAGGTTATGGTTCCCTCGAAGCAATGTCACCCCAAGGTATGCTCGAGGACCAAGTACTGCTACAATGCAATCTGGCGGCCGACATCTTCTTCATCCCATTCGTCGACTGCACATAGTTAGTAATCTTTTGTGTGACCTCGTCCAAAAGCTCCTGAAGCCGATCACCCGAGCCCTTGTCCACCTCAGCCTGCAGCTTGTCCCTGGCTTGCTGAAGGCTCTCTTTGTGGTTCTTGAGATCCGTGAGGAAGCCGTCGCGGATCGGCTGCGACCTGGAATCAAGATTGGACTGGCAGAGGATCTAAAGGCTAGGCTTCAGGGCTTATATTAGGGGCTTAATATCGAGACCCTAGCGTGAGTTTTTTGATTAAGGTAGGGTTACGTATATATATATATATATATATATATATCTAGTCTAGTCTATCTATCTATCTATCTATCTATTTTTTCATATATATATATAGTATATGTATGTCATATGTGCAGTTTGGGCTCTCGGTTGGGATTTGCGATTAAGGGCTTTAGGTTTTGTGATTGTTGCATCAGGGATACATATCCTTGTTCCCGGCGATCTCCTCCTGCAGCACACTCGACTCCTCTAGCTTTGTGGAAGCCAGGGCAATCTTGTTCTTGGAGTGGTTCGTGAGGGCGGTTTTCTTCTTCTTGTCCATGGTTTCCGGTTGGGTTGCCAGGGTCGAGCCTGCCTCCTGATCCCCAAGAGCCAGCGGCAAAGCCATCGAGGACGGCCTGCGTGTGAGGCCGGAGCTGGAACCCGCATTCGAGCCGCCCGGCATTGCAATCTCGAGGCCGTGGGCCATGGTGGTCCTGAGGGGCAATTAATGGCAGTGCAAGCTTAAGGGTTTCGGGGCCCTGAGTTTCAAACCGCAGAAAAACTACATTCTACTATATAGGCACTTTGGATCTTGTGGGTTTGGTGTTTAACTCAGCACAGTGGCATCGCCGCTCGAGTGGCCCCCGCATCGAGCTGCATCTGGTCGGTCTGCAAGGTCGTCGTTTTCGAAGACTTGTCGTTTTTCGTCAAGACCGCCTCCTTGAATGTCCGTACCAACGTCCACTCCTGTCAAGTTTAGGGCTAGAGGGTTGAGGGATATTTAATGTTCAAGAAATAACCACATTTGTTTTGGCAAGCCCCGCCTTACATCCAGGTAAATCAGGGTGTTTCAATATGAAAGGAGGTTCCTGACTGTCCTCGGGAAGGGCGTCTTGGAGGGCCATCTTTGAGCGGTAAATCTCCTCTGCATGCTGGTCCCCCTCTTTGGCCCGTAGGTCACACAATCTCATGTAATGCTCCTCGCCTCGCATGATGTGCTCCACGGTAGATTCTGTCTTGCAGCAGATGCTCGAGCTGAGCCAATCGCCACCAGCTTTGAGGTACTCATTGAACATGTCGTCCAGCACTTTAGAGCCTGGGGGCATCATTTCAGAACACTCATGTACATTGATATATGATAGCAAGAATTCTAGAAGTCGTCCACAAGCTTAGCACCGGTGCCGAAAAACCGTAGAACCTAAGTGGTTCACATTAATATTATATTGCAAGCTTAGGACCGGTGCCTCGCGTTGCCTTGCTGGCGGCTTCTGCAACCTCCGGTGGGCAGTTCGTGCCTGGGCCATCAGTGGCTTGAACCATGCTTTTGAGCCAGAGTATTTAGGGGTTTATTTTGCTTTAGGGTCCTGGGTAGACGGTGAATTGATGATTCATGATCAGATCCACCACACTGGTGAATATTGTGTGATTGATGAAGTTGTTCGGATCTGGTACGGCTATATTTAGACTCTGGGCTTAAGGGGCTTTAGGCGGATGTTAGGGTTTCAGGATTGAAGGCATATATGGGGCTTGAGGCATTCAGAAGTTTAAGGGTTTACGGGTATTGGGGTTTGGGTGAAGAGTCTCTAGGAGTTCTCTAGCGATTGTTGTACATATAGTTGGATGCAATTCGGATCAAGGAGATAGTTCAGGGCTTCAGGGTTTAAAGAATTTGGAGATTTCAGGCTTTACCTAGCTAATAATATCAAAGCCAAGCACTGCGGATGGACCGGTGGAACTTCATGAAGACGTTGTGGGCCACCCTCGTCATCCACTCCTCATTGGATTCGCATTCCTTCTTGGTAAGCGTCACTTCCTGCCATGTTTCGGGGGTGTAGAGGGTTTAGGGGCAGCGTGATCCCAAAACTGTCCGAAAGGCCTTGGAAGACCCCCACTACCCCTGAAACCAGCCTCGGGACTAGCACCCTTTCCAACGAAACTCGGGTCCTTCAAATCGAAAGAGTTGGGCTTCTCCAATGCCTTGAAAACGGCCTCCGTCCTGGCCCCCGTCTTGCTGCGAGCCTCAACCGGGGCCAGCTGGAGGACCCCTGGATCCGGATGCTGCATGGCTTCCTGCTGCTGGTCGCCTGTTCCCTGCGTGGCTTGATCTGCTTGCATCGTCGGGACCCCTGACTCCAAATCCGGTGCTTGCTGCACGGCTTCATGCTGGTCGCCTGTTCACTGCGTGGGCTCTGCGTCTGCTTGCAACGGGACCCCTGACTCCGAATCCGGTGCTTGCTGCATGGCTTCCTGCTGCTGGTCGCCTGTTCCCTGTGTGGCCTCTGCGTCTGCTTGCATCGGGACCCCTGACTCCGAATTGCTTGCTGCGTGGCTTCCTGCTGGTCGCGTGTTCCCTGTGTGGCCTCTGCTAGATTTGCGTCTGCTTGCATAGGGACCCCCGACTCCGAATCCGGTCCTTGCTGCATGGCTTCCTGCTGGTCGCGTGTTCCCTGCGTGGCTTCTGCTTGCATGGGCTGCGAAACCACTCCTTCCATAGCCTGGTTGCCTGTTCCCTGCGTGTCCACCAAGGTCTCCGGAAGCGGGAGCGACGACGGCTCCTGGGCACAGCGGTTCGTAGTACTAGCACTGTGGAGGTTGTACGAGTGCTGTGGCTAGCCGCGGGAAAACAAAGTAGAAGTGATAGATATCTAGTATACAGTACTAGTCCTAGTACTAGTACTACTACTACTACTACTACTACTACTACTACTACTACTACTACTACTACTACTACTACTACTACTGCTACTACTGCTACTAGTAGCAGTAGTAGTAGTAGTAGTAGTAGTAGTAGTAGTAGTAGTAGTAGTAGTAGTAGTAGCAGTAGTAGTAGTAATACTAGTAGTAGTAGTGGTAGTAGTAGTAGTAGTAGTACTAGTACTAGTACTAGTACTAGTACTAGTACTAGTACTAGTACTAGTACTAGTACTAGTACTAGTAGCGTAGTACGTAGTAGTGGTACGTAGTAGTATAAACAGCAGCAGTAGCTAGTAGTACTAGTACAGTAGTGTGCTAGCTCTAGATCTCGAATTCGAATTGATTTCGCAACGGCAGCACCAGTGGCTGGCAGTAGTCTAGTTTAACCAAGTCGGTACTGCAAGGCGATTTGGAGGCTTCGAAAGAGGACTGCTTTGGCTTATTAGGTACAGGGACTAAGGTCTAGGCTTTAATAAGTTTCTGCGATGTTTGCGGATTGGTTGAAACTTTAGGGGCTCAGGATTCAAGCTTAAGCTTACGGGTTGCAGGTTAACACTTTTTCGGCAGCTTCTACGTGTGACGTGGAGTTTCGGGATTAGGGTACCCTGCTCGCATCCAAAGAACCCAGGCCTCTAGAGAGAAGTTTGCCATAGATGCCTCCAGCTCGTCCATGAAGAGCTGCTCGCCTATGTCCTCCTCGATCGTCGTTGTTTGCATCCAACCAAACTCGTTGAACAGGTTCCACTTGCCCAAGAGGGGATCGACTGATTTGTCGATGGCCACGAGTGCAGCCAACTCCGCCCGCTCCAGGTGATCCTGGATCTCTTTGCTCTTCTTGGACCTCCACTGCTCCGTGGCTGTAGCACGTTTGTGCAGTAGGTCCTCGCCCAATTCGCCGTTGTCCAACTGTTGCCGAAGCTTCTGGATCATGTTCTCGGCTTGGTTGTGGACTGCCTCTGCCACGGCTGCGGTTTTGGCCTTCAGAGCCTCATACTCAGAAACCTTTGTCCAAGCTCCGTTGACGAGTAGCATTAAGTACTTTAGGCCATCCGAGTCCATCAGCAAGTCGGTCCTGATGTCATCCTCCATCACAACACCATTCTGCGGATGCCGAGGCAGGGCGTCCTTGATCCAGGACATCATCGGCGAAGCGTCTTGGAAGCGAATAGCTTCTTCAAGAGGGGGCCACTGCTTGTCCTGGCACGGCATGCCATAGTAGCCCTCGAAGATCAACCTCCGGACACCTGTCGAGGGGTCCTCCTCCTCTCGCGGAAAGTCCCCCAGCACCAGAGTGCTTGTTGAGCGAGCCACCGTGGTGAGGCTGTCCGGCCTGCGGATGGGCTGCACCCCGGCCGGCGAAGCTTGGCTTTGGCCTGCATACATTAACAAATTTAGGCTTTAGGGTTTGGGGATTGGGTTTTTGGGTAGGGTTTGGGGATTGGGTTTTGGGCAGCCAATATCCTAGAACCATCGTACCATAAGCTACGAAAGAATTCTATGCTAGATGTAGCTGAAATGCAAGCAAACAGCACCAATAGGATCCGGAATTTAGAGTAGATAGTTAAACAACATAGAGAAGCCCAGAGAACATGTGTGGGAATAAGGTTTAGGGTATGTTGACAGTTTAGGTATATATTATTAGGGTTTATTCAAACTATCTAGTTGTCTAATCTAAGCTACTGTACTTGGCAGACACCCAATGCATGATCATGAGACAGCCTGGCAGTTGATCAGGCTTCGAAGCAGAGCTTTCCGGCACCTCCAGCAGGGATTCTGAAATGGGTAGAAACACACCAAAAATCTACATATGGATCTTAGCCCAGTAATTATATTAATGGCCTCGGCGGCATCTTCAAAGAGTGCCCTCCGGGCTTTCTTGTAGTCCGGGCTCTTGACGGGCGTGTAGCCTGGCTTGAAAGGTGTCCCAACTTTGGCAGGGGTTGGCGTAGATCCCGACATGTGCACATCCTTGGCTGGGCTCGGCTTTGGGGAGGCCTTTGGCACAGGTGGGCTCGCCATGGTAACATCATCAGCTGTTGGCTGGCTCTTCACTGCTTGCTTCGTGGGTGTGTTGGGACATTGCTTTATCGGCGCCGGCACTTTGGGGAAGCCAGCTTGTCCCGAGGCTGGCGGACGGCCCATGACGGCCAGACTGCTGGTTCTGCTGCCTTCGGCTGGAGGAGGCTCGGCAGCACTCTTCGGCATCTGTACCGGTCCGGGTTGCTTCGGCGTCTGTACCGGTCCGGGTTGCTTCGGTGTCTCTACCGGTCCGGGCTGCACGGGTTGGGCTTGGCCTTTCGAAGTCACGGGCTTCGAGGTTGGAAGTTCTCGCTTCGTCGGCACCGGGGAAGCACCTTTGGTGGGCTGGGTTTAAGGGTTTAGGGATTACGTGCGGCGGGCTTCGGGGTTTAGGGGTGCAGGGTTTAAATATATTGTTGCTACTATTAAGTTAAAGCCCAGATGCCTTTCATGGCTGTCGCCTTCACATCGAATTCCAGGGGAGCGGTAAGGCTTGGAGGCGGAGATGTCGTAGGTTTCTTAGCAGCTGGCGCACCGGCCATGAATGCCGTTTTGCCGCTCATGCGTCTCGTTGGTTTTGCTGCAGCTGCTTGTGTCCCACCGGTGTCTCCGGATCCTGCGTGCAGTGGCTGTCTTATATATTACAAGTGTGATTACAATACACATATAGTTGTTCGATCATATAAACATCCCAGCCAGCCTGCAGGTGGCATGCCTGCAGCTTTCAAAGCCTCTGCCACCTCATCTGCGATCTTCTTGTGCTTGCCCTGTCCGATAGGTTCGTAGGGATCTCTAGATACCTCTAGAACTCTAGATTAGTTCAGACTTTGGACACGGGCTTGTGGTTATATGGTGGTGCTAGCTTGGTTCGGCTCAATTGGTAGGGGTGCACGTAGAAGTCGAAGGCATGGGGTTCAGATAATTTGTGAACACGAGGATGTGGCTTCAAAGCCCTGGCCTGTTCCTGATTACTATTCATAACATATACATGTACACCCCTGTATAGTGGACCTGAAGAAGCCGTTCTTCTGGGCTACCGGAAATATTTACAATATCTGGGCTAGCCTTGCGTGTAGGGTTCAGAGATCCTACTATAAACTTAAGTGCATTTAAATGCAATTAAGTTTATAGTAGGATCTCTGAAATTTAGGATTTGGGGATCTGGGTCTTAATGCATTATAGGGGGCTTAGGCCGGGCTTTAAGGTGCCTGTTGCGGCTGCTTGGGTGCAGCCTGCGTCGGAGTGGCCCCCGTGGAAGCCATGGCACGAACTAACGGCGACTAACGGTTACTAACGGCCCAAAGTGTTCCAGAGACCCCTTTGAACGCCAAATAACGCTTCCTAACGGCCCTGCCCGAACCTCAACTCACGGCCCCTAACGGCTCCTAACGGCCAAAAGTGGTCCAGGGAACCCTTTGAACGCCAAATAACGCTACCTAACTGCCGTGATTTTGCACACCAACACAACTCACGGCCCCTAACGGTCCCTAACGGCCAGAAGTGCTCCAGAGAGCCCTTTGAACGCCAAATAACGCTCTCTAACGCCTTTGGTGGTTTTCTGCAAGTGAACCCTGTGTTTGCAGCAGGGACTGCTCACAATTTGAGCAAATCAAGGCCTCGCGTCACATGCTTAACGTACAGCAGGCAGCCCTGACATGTGCGTGAGGCCGATCATGTGCAGGATCGAGCTACATGCAAACCCCAAATTAAATATATAAAGCTAATTAAAAAGGATTCCAAAGTACCTTTGCATGGTATCGAATAGGGAATACTCTTCCAAACCACAAAAGCAAACCCTGCAATACTTAGGACCCTGAGGGAATTATGCATGTACACTTGTACATGCATAATTCCCTCAGGAATAGCATGTCGTCGGATTATCTCGATCATCCACATCCACGGCTTGGGTCTAGACCTGCACAATAGCCACATGAACTGTTTTCTCCGGCCGGTGCCAGTGATACATGCCGATGTGACACATGCATCTACTGCTCTAGATTCTCTAGATCTCCAGGGCAAGCCAAGCACCAGCTAGATAATTTTAGCTACATCAATGTACTGTGTAGACTGCATGCAGAGGACGAATGCCCCAAAGCTTGCCAACGGTTCAGCCAACCTGTATTCTGGAAGAGGTTTTGTGGTTTGGTTCGGCCGATACCTCGATCCACTGTGGCTGGGTGGACATATACATGTGTAGTTAAATTTCACTATAATTACATGTGTCTCTCAGCATGATCACTTCGAGGGCCATAGCGACCAGTACATATACTCCAAATGTGTTAACCGACTGAATGGGCCCTTGAAGCCGATCACAATCCAGCCGCCTTTGCAAACATGAGGCGTCGATTGCATCGACAGCCATGCACCTCAATTGCACGTTGTGTGGCTTGGGGATTAGGGCATGGGGTTCTGGGTCTGGGGCTTATAAAAGTAGGGCATTCGGTTTAGGGTTCTGGGTTTGGGGCTTTTCGGTTTCCATTAAATACACATAGTTTCGCAGAGAAATAAACATTATGTGTGTATATATATATATATACATATGTATGTATCTCATATCAATACAAATATAAATATATATATATATATATATATATATATATGTCTATATATATATATACATATTAATATATATATATATATATATATATATATATATATATATATGTATATATATATATATGTATATATATATAGAGAGAGAGAGCAATTCAGACGTACAAATATAGTATTTGCGGCAAAATACTCCAAACAGAGAATCTATGATGAGGCCGATCTAGATCAGTCAAGACTCGACTGGCCCGGTTGGAGTCAGCAATGAATAGCCAGGTTGTCAATTCTAGATACCCAGCAGCCTCGGATCGAAGTTTGATTGGCCCTATATAGGTATATTGACCCAACTATATAGGTATATAGACCCAACTTCTTATGATCTACTTGTGGGGGGTGGGGGGGCTCTTTCGAGGTTTTCTTTTTGAAGGTTTGAACTTTTCAACTATGCACGAGATTCCATCTCCATTAACGTAACCTATATATATATATATATATATATCTATGTATATACATATATAGGTACGGTTGGGTAGTTAATTTTGACGACTACAATATAGGTATATTAGACCCCACTAGGCCCCTAGGAACCCCTATGTACCACATTCGAAGCCAGCTGCTCATGTCCTGATACGGCACCCACGGCACCCAACCCAAAGCTAAACCCTTCATCCGGAACCCACGATATGCAGAACCAAAGCTCCTGCTCAAACTTTGATGGTAGACCCCCTAGAACCAAGCTTGATGGGAAGTGCCAAGAAGCAGTCGTTGATCCACCTGCAGAAAGTCGGTACCTGGGCCGGGCCCAGGGGAATAAAGACTAAAACCCAAAGCTTACAGGCTAAGCCCACTATAGAAACTTCGTAAGCGTGCCCCATTGCGAGCCCAGTGGATACTGCCCCGGTAATGATCATCGGTATCTTAAATTCGTCACTTGTTCGAATCCCACGAACACACACAGCCGAAGGCTCTAGAGCTACAAGACGAAAATCTGCGATCAGGCCGATCTGTCGAGTCTCGGTGGGTTGCATTGGAGTCAGCAATGTATAGCCAGGTCGTCCATTCTAGATATCCAGCAGCCTCAGATCGAAAGGGCATTGTTTGGTCGTAAAAAACCCAACTTCTCATGACCGGGGGCTCTGACGAGGTCATGCTTTTTGTTCTGAAGAAACTTTTGGGGTATCTGGGGCGAACTGCTGACTATGCACTGGGTTCCATTTGCATATCAACGTAACCTATACAGGTACGGTTGGGTATACCTAGTTAACATTTGACGACAATATATAGCACAGGTATATTAGATCCTATAGGAACCCCAGGCCCTATGTACCACATTAGAAGCCAGCAGCAATTAATTCATGTCCTGATACGGCACCCACGGCACCCAACCCAAACCTAAACCCTTAATCCGGAAGCCACGATATGCAGAACCAAAGCTCCTGCTCAAACCTTCGATGGTAGACCCCCGAGAAGCAAGCTTGATGGGAAGTGCCAAGAAGCAGTCCTTGATCCACCTGTCCAGAGAGTCGGTACCTGGGCCGGGGGAACAAAACCGTAAACCCCAATGCTTAAAGCCTAAACCCTAAACTGATAAATAATACAACTACTTCGTAAGCGTGCCCCGTTGCGAGTCCGGCGGAAACTGCCATGCTCCGGTACTGACATGATCGTCGGTATCATGAATTCGCCAGTTGTCCCATTAAGTTCGAAACCACCAGCACCAACATGTACAGCGGAAGGCTCTAGAGTTGTGCAAGTGAGAATCAGCTAAGCATGATATGTGTGCACGGATCCTACGAAAATCCTTGAGACAATGTATCGGAACTGAGCCCAACACGACCCCTCATGAATCACGGAATCCTACCCTGCCCTAGGTGTGGGCGGCTCCGGCATTTGTGGCATCGCACATGCATCTGAGCTCGATTTCCCGGCTTGCAGACACTATGGAGGGATGGGCCGTTGCGTCAAGTGAGTCTCTAAAACTCTAGCTGCAGACCTCCAGGTCCGTGTTCGGATTTAGGGTATCGGGTCTTCGGGTTCGGTTTTCTCTTGTGGAGGGACAGGGGGTTCACAATTTTTGGGCTTAGGGCTTTGGGGTTTAGATGTAAAGGCCTTGACCCAAGACCGAAACTGCCACTAGCATATGTAGACAACACACACAGTCTCATACACCCTAGCAAGGCCTTGTATGCATACATTTACATACATACACTAGTACAGACACATGCGCAGAAAGATGCATACGTGCATGCATGCATGTCGATAACACACACTACCTGCATGTGCTTGATACAAAGCTGCTTCCACACATAAAGGCTGCATGCTAACTACCATATATTGTTATACGTATGGAACACATATACATGCTCAAGGTAATCTGAGAACCGTGTGCCACAGTTGCCTACACAGCTGGGCATTGGGACTGATGCTACAAGGTTTGCCCGCCCCATCTGTACAATCCGATGTGCGGAGGTCGCACACACTTCGAATGGCTGGCACTTTTAGAAAAGCGAGCCTTCAATTACAAATCATCCGAGGGTGCACCACAAATCACGACAAGGCCCAGCTACACGAAT